CCAGGACTAACCAGGACTAAACCAGGACTAAACCAGGAACTAAACCAGGACTAAACCAGGTCTAAACCAGGACTAAACCAGGTCTAAACCAGGACTAAACCAGGACTAAACCAGGTCTAAACCAGGTCTAAACCAGGTCTATGTTTGTATTTTAGTCTCCGTCTTCTTTTTGTTCTGATCGTTTTAAACACATTCAGGAAAAGTTCTGCTCTGTTTTTTAGTATCGATACCTGCGAAAAATGAGGATCTGGTTTCGATATTATTTTTAGTATCGATTAGAATCTGATTTTCGATACTTTTGACAGAGCACAGGGACGGATCAGAGCAGGAACTAAACAAACAGAAGCACAAAAACATGAAAACTTGAGGTCCGGTCTGGACACTGACCGCAGGCGACCGCAAGACTCACAAAGACATTCAAGTCATTTGGATCCTGCCGCACTGACCTCTGACGTCAAACTGACAAAACCACAGGAGCAAAACAGGAAATGAGCTGAACCGTTCTGAACCTGAACTATACCGGACCTGAACCACAAAGCACCTGAACCGTACCCGCACCACATCCACACCACATCTGAACCACAAAGCACCCGAACCCTACTGCACCTGAACCGCACCAAACCCAAACTGCACAGCACCACACTGCACCTGAACTGTACTGCACCTGAACCTCAAATCACCTGAACCGAAATGCACCCACACCGCACCTGGACCACATGGCACCACACCTTAACCGCACCAAACCCGAACTGCACCGCACTTGAACCACACCGCACCTGAACTGTACCACACCTGAACTGCACCTGAACTGTACCACACCTGAACTGCACCTGAACTGTACCACCTGCACCTGAACTGCACTGAACTGTAAACACTGCACCTGAACTGCACTGAACTGTGAACTGCACCTGCACCTGAACTGCACCTGAACTGTACCACACCTGACTGCCCTGAACTGTACCACTGCACCTGAACTGCACCTGAACTGTACCGCACCTGCACCTGAACTGTACCACACCTGAACTGCACCTGAACTGCACCTGTACTACAACCTGAACTGCACCTGAACTGAACTGAACTGCACCTGAACTGCACCTGAACTGAACTCACACCTGAACTGCACCTGAACTGTACCACACCTGAACTGCACCTGAACTGCCCTGAACTGACTGCACCTGAACTGTCCTGAACACACCCTGAACTGCACCTGAACTGCACCTGAACTGTACCACACCTGACACCTGAACTGCACCTGAAGGCACTGCACCTGAACTGCACCTGAACTGCACCTGAACTGCACCAACTGTTACCACTGAACTGTACCGCACCTAAACTGCCACCTGAACTGCACCTGAACTGTACACACACCTGAACTGCACCTGAACTGCCACCTGAACTGTACCCACCTGAAACCTGTACCTGAACACCCTGCAACCTGAAACCTGAACTGTACCACACCTGAACTGCACCTGAACTGTACCACACCTGAACTGCACCTGAACTGCCCCTGAACTGTACCGCACCTGAATTGTACCGCACCTGAACTGCACCTGAACTGTACCACACCTGAACTGCCCTGAACCTGTACGCACACTGCACCTGCACCTGAACTGCCACCTGAAATTGTACCACACCTGAACTGCACCTGCACCTGTACCACACCTGAACTGCACCTGAACTGTACTGAACACCACCTGAACTGAACTGCCCCTGAACTGTACCACACCTGAACTGCCCCTGAACTGTACCACACCTGCACCTGAACTGTACCGCACCTGCACCTGAACTGTACCGCACCTGCACCTGAACTGTACCGCACCTGCACCTGAACTGTACCACACCTGCACCTGAACTGCACCTGAACTGTACCACACCTGAACTGCACCTTAATCTCACCGCACCTTCAGTCAACAAACACCGGGGGGTTAGCTTCATTAAACCAGATCTGTGGCCTTACCTCTGGTCTCGTCCGGTCTCCAGGACTGAACAGGACTGGACCTGGTCTGGACTTGGATGGGAAACCGCTGGGAATAAACTACCTCTGTGTCCTTTGGCAACACACTTCACCCACAGTGCACAGTGGAGCCTAAGACTAAAGATCCTCTAAAATGTAGGACTTAAAGGTTGTATAGAGGATTTTCCAAGGAACAGAAATCCAGCGACTGTTTGTCCTTTTTCAAATGTTGCTCCTGTGTGAAACCACCTCCCCCCCCACAGCTCCTACGTAGAAACACCTCCTCCCTCCTCCTCCTTACGCCAGAAACCGTTTGTTTGCCGCTGCACATGACTTGTAAACAACTAACTACAGTGTTGGTTAGGCAAGACGGAGAAGTGAGGAGCGGGGGGAGCGGGTGCGCGGACATTTCGTTCGCGGACGAGAAGTGAGGAGCAGGGAGAGGAGAGAGGAGAGGGGTGCGCGGAGATTCTGTGCCCGGAGAAGTGAGGAGCAGTGGGGAAGAGCAGATCGGGCAGCGGGGAGAGGAGCAGGAAAGGGGTGCAGAGAAGGTTGCGCGGAGATTCAGTGCGAATGAACTAACTACAACACGCAGCAGCAAGCGACTCTTTCTTTGCCTTGAAAATTACGTTTTCAGACATAGGATATCGCATTCGTGTCCTGAAAAACGTTTGTCTAACTCTTGGAAATAAAGTACATTTTCATAATAAGCAGAAGTTTCCTGTCCAGGAGTAATTTGTGGACCAGTGGTTCAGTCTTTAGACCCTTCGTCTGCTTCAGTCGCGCCATCGCTGGAATGAATCTTCAAGAATCACCTTAGTTTGGCTTCGCTGCTTTTCCCCTTGTCTTCTTCTTTCACCTCAAAAACGGACTTTCTTTTGCGGTGAACTGCTCCTGGATTCTTGTCGCCATCGCAACAAACTTTGTGCGAACTGCGAGGAAGATATAGGTCAAAAAAGCCGCTAAGAACTGTTGTGTTTTGGTGGAGTAAACAGCGTCTGTGCGTCTTGCGTCTGTGGACTGTGTGACAGTCGTAACGTAAACCACGTACCGGCGGCGCAGGCAAGTCAGTTACTATAGAAACGTAGGGAGTTTGATTGACAGCCTGTCAGCTCACAGATAACGAGGCAGTGTCGTTATCTATTGGCAAATGTTTAGCCCCACCACGTCCGGAGGAAAAGAGAAGGCAAGGGAGAGGAGAGAGAGCGGTGAGAGAAGGAGAAGAGAGAGAGGAGAGAGATAGTAGAGGAGACAGGGGGGAGAAGAGAAGAAAAGGGAGGAAAGAGAGAGGGAGGAGAGAGGAGAGAGAGCGGTGAGAGAAGGAGAAGAGAGAGAGGGAGAGAGATAGTAAGGAGGAGACAGGGGGGAGAGAGAAGAAAAAGGGAGGAAAGAGAGAGGGAGGAGAGAGGAGAGAGAGCGGTGAGAGAAGGAGAAGAGAGAGAGAGGAGAGAGATAGTAGAGGAGACAGGGGGAGAGAGAAGAAAAAGGGAGGAAAGAGAGAGGGAGGAGAGAGGAGAGGAGAAGGGAAGAAGAGAGAGGGAGGAGAGGCGAGAGGGAGAAGAGAGAGATGAGAGAAGGAGGCGAGAGAAGAAAGTGGAAGGAAAGGAGAGAGGAGAGAAGGAGGAGAGGAGTGAGGGAGAAGAGAGGGAGGATGTGAGGAAAGAGGAGAGAAGAGAGGGATGAGAGGAGTGCAAGAGAGAGGCAGGAGAGAGGAGAGGAGAGAGAGAAGGAGGAAAGAGAGAGGGAGGAGAGGAGACAGGAGTGAAGGAGGAGAGAGAGAGGGAGGAGAGGAGAGAAGGAGGAAAGAGAGAGGGAGGAGAGGAGAAGAGAGGAGAGAAGGAGGAGAGAGAGAGAGAAGATGTTAGATTCAGTTTAGAGTCGTTCATTGGTACATTCTGGCACATTATGTTACTATGGAGACAGTTTCAGATCTGTGGAGAGGCGGGTCTGCGGAGAGGCGGGTCTGTGGAGAGGCGGGTCTGTGGAGAGGCGGGTCTGCGGAGAGGCGGGTCTGTGGAGAGGCGGGTCTGTGGAGAGGCGAGCTCACAGCACTCACAAAAATTATTAATAAATGGAAGAAAGACGAGTTTAATACTGAACTGCGGCAAAGCTTTCCAGAACATCAGGAAAGTTACGCACTGCACCTTTACAATCGTATTAGAGTACGGAAACGCGACGGAAACCCGACGGAAACCCGAACCGAAACCTGACCGAAACCCGACTGAAACCCGACCGAAACCTGACCGAAACCCGATTGAAACCTGACCGAAACCCGACGGAAACCCGACCGAAACCTGACCGAAACCTGACCGAAACCCGACTGAAACCCGACTGAAACCTGACCGAAACCCGACTGAAACCTGACCGAAACCTGACTGAAACCTGACGGAAACCTGACCGAAACCTGACCGAAACCTGACCGAAACCCGACTGAAACCCGAAACCCGACCGAAACCTGACCGAAACCCGATTGAAACCTGACCGAAACCTGAAACCTGAACCGAAACCCGACTGAAACCGAACCGAAACCTGAACGAACCCGATTGAAACCTGACGAAACCCGACGGAAACCCGACCGAAACCTGACCGAAACCTGACCGAAACCCGACTGAAACCCCGACTTGAAACCTGACCGGAAAACCGAAACCTGACCGAAACCTACCTGACCGAAACCTGACTGAAACCTGACTGAAACCTCGAAACCGAGAACCTGACCGAAACCCGACTGAAACCCGACTGAAACCCTGACCGAAACCCGACCGAAACCTGACCGAAACCCGACCGAAACCCGACTGAAACCCGACCGAAACCCGACTGACCGATTGAAACCCGACCGAAACCTGACTGAAACCTGACCGAAACCTGACCGAAACCCGACCGAAACCTGACCGAAACCCGATTGAAACCCGACTGAAACCTGATTGAAACCTGACCGAAACCTGATTGAAACCCGACTGAATTGATTGAGCTGAATTGACCTGATTTGGTGTGAGAAGTACAGATGTGTTTTACAGTGACTCTTGTTTGTGTTTGTGTTTGTGTGAAGGACACGGCCGGACAGGAGCGATATCGAACCATCACCACGGCCTATTACAGAGGAGCCATGGGCTTCATCCTCATGTACGACATCACCAACGAAGAGTGTCAACGCCGTCCAGGACTGTACGTCAACGCCGTCACATGAACGACTGAACACAACACTGTCCAGGATGGTACGTACTCACATGAACGAGGTGTACATGAACACAACACTGTCCAGGACTGGTACGTACTCACATGAACGAGGTGCACATGAACACAACACTGTCCAGGACTGGTACGTACTACACACATGAACGAGGTGCACATGAACACAACACTGTCCAGGACTGGTACGTACTCACATGAACGAGGTGCACATGAACACAACACTGTCCAGGACTGGTACGTACTCACATGAACGAGGTGCACATGAAACACAACACTGTCCAGGACTGGTACGTACTCACATGAACGAGGTGCACATGAACACAACACTGTCCAGGACTGGTACGTACTCACATGAACGAGGTGCACATGAACACAACGCTGTCCAGGACTGGTACGTACTCACATGAACGAGGTGCACATGAACACAACACTGTCCAGGACTGGTACGTACTCACATGAACGAGGTGCACATGAACACAACACTGTCCAGGACTGGTACGTACTCACATGAACGAGGTGCACATGAACACAACACTGTCCAGGACTGGTACGTACTCACATGAACGAGGTGTACCTGAACACAACACTGTCCAGGACTGGTACGTACTCACATGAACGAGGTGCACATGAACACAACACTGTCCAGGACTGGTACGTACTCACATGAACGAGGTGTAACCTGAACACAACACTTGTCCAGGACTGGTACGTACTCACATGAACGAGGTGCACCTGAACACAACACTGTCCAGGACTGGTACGTACTCACATGAACGAGGTGCACCTGAACACAACACTGTCCAGGACTGGTACGTACTCACATGAACGAGGTGCACATGAACACAACACTGTCCAGGACTGGTACGTACTCACATGAACGAGGTGCACATGAACACAACACTGTCCAGGACTGGTACGTACTCACATGAACGAGGTGCACATGAACACAACACTGTCCAGGACTGGTACGTACTCACATGAACGAGGTGCACATGAACACAACACTGTCCAGGACTGGTACGTACTCACATGAACGAGGTGCACATGAACACAACACTGTCCCAGGACTGGTACGTACTCACATGAACGAGGTGCACATGAACACAACACTGTCCAGGACTGGTACGTACTCACATGAACGAGGTGCACATGAACACAACACTGTCCAGGACTGGTACGTACTCACATGAACGAGGTGTACATGAACACAACACTGTCCAGGACTGGTACGTACTCACATGAACGAGGTGCACATGAACACAACACTGTCCAGGACTGGTACGTACTCACATGAACGAGGTGCACATGAACACAACACTGTCCAGGACTGGTACGTACTCACATGAACGAGGTGCACATGAACACAACACTGTCCAGGACTGGTACGTACTCTGAAAAACGAGGTACGCCTCAACACAACACGAGCAAAACGCCGTCAGGATTGGTACATACTGACATAAACGAGGTACGCCTGAACACAACACAAGAAACACAAGGTACAGCTGAACATAACATGAGTAAAACGCCGTCAGGACTGGTACATACTGATATAAACGAGGTGTACCTGAACACAACATGAGTAGGACTGGTACATCCTGAGAAAGACGAGGTACACGTGAACACAACACGAGTGCAGGACTGGCACACTAAAGCTGTTTTCAGGCCGACAGAACCGACAGAGAACTGACAGAGAACCGACAGAGAACTGACAGAGAACGAACAGAGAACTGACAGAGAACCAACAGAGAACTAACAGAGAACTAACAGAGAAACTGACAGAGAAGAACAGAGAACTAACAGAGAACTGACAGAGAACGACAGAGAACTGACAGAGAACTGACAGAGAACCGACAGAGAACTAACAGAGAACTGAAACAGAGAACTGACAGAGAACTGACAGAGAACTGACAGAGAACCGACAGAGAACTAACAGAGAACTGATAGAGAACCGACAGAGAACCGACAGAGAACTGACAGAGAACCGACAGAGAACTAACAGAGAACTGACAGAGAACTGACAGAGAACTGACAGAGAACCGACAGAGAACTGACAGAGAACTGACAGAGAACTGACAGAGAACTAACAGAGAACTGACAGAGAACCGACAGAGAACTGACAGAGAACTGACAGAGAACCGACAGAGAACCGACAGAGAACTAACAGAGAACTGACGAACCGACAGAGAACCGACAGAGAACTAACAGAGAACTGACAGAGAACTGACAGAGAACTAACAGAGAACTGACAGAGAACCGACAGAGAACTAACAGAGAACTGACAGAGAACCGACAGAGAACTGACAGAGAACTGACGAACCGACAGAGAACCGACAGAGAACTGACAGAGAACCGTGCCGGTGCCGACTCTCGTGTTCACACCGGAAATCAGAGCGTTCGGGAACTGAAAAGTAAAACTTGTTTTTTCTGAGTGAACCGTGACGACACAGAAGCCGTCAGCACGTTCATCCAGGTCACATGCAGGAAAAGAAACAAACAAAGAGCAACTGAAACTATCATGTATTAAATTAAAAGTTTTAAATCTACAGAAACTATTTGTACTGTTCATCTTGCATGTGTCTGTGTTTCCTGATAAGTTTACATGTTTGTATTTGGCGTCGCTGTCGTCTTCTCCACAGCAGATCCATGTTGTGTCAGAGTTTGGTTCATAAATATTGACTTGTAGAAATACAAACTCTCACTGGTGTCGATGATTTGATCCATGATTCTTATTTCATCCGTTTTCTCGTGGTCTTGTTTTTTTTTTTGGTGTAAATCCACTCCTTCTGTCGATGACGCATCATGAGTTCACGTAAATAGTTTGAACTTGGGTCGTTCACCAGAGAAAACTTTGGTTCTGGTGCAGGAAACGACACCGGCACCGTTCTGACCGGCATGAAAACAGCTGAATAGAGCACTTCCTGATTATCAGACAATATAAGAGTTTATAATTCGACGCAGACAGAACTCAGCAGAAGCACCACATCTGTACTGGAGCACGACACTGTGGGGTGTGTTTGTTTTGTTCACCCTGTTCACTCAGGTAAACACGTGTGTATGTACAGAGGAGTGGCTGGGGTGTGTTTGTTTTGCTCACCAAGTCACCCGAGGAAAATGTGTGTATAGAGAAGTGAGGGTGTGTTTGTTTTATTCACCAGGTCGACTCAGATAAAGACGTACTCGTGTGTATTGATCGGGGTGTGTTTGTTTTATTCACCAGGTCGACTCAGATAAAGACGTACTCGTGTGTATTGATCGGGGTGTGGTTTTTGTTTTGACCACCAGGTCGACTCAGATAAAGACGTACTCGTGTGTATTGATTGAGGGTGTGTGTTTGTTTTATTCACCAGGTCGACTCAGATAAAGACGTACTCGTGTGTATTGATCGGGGTGTGTTTGTTTTGTCCACCAGGTCGACTCAGATAAAGACGTACTCGTGTGTATTGATGGGGGTGTGTTTGTTTTATTCACCAGATCAACTCAGATAAAGACGTACTCGTGTGTATTGATCGGGGTGTGTTTGTTTCGTGCACCAGGTCGACTCAGATAAAGACGTACTCGTGTGTATTGATCGGGGTGTGTTTGTTTCGTGCACCAGGTCGACTCAGATAAAGACGTACTCGTGTGTATTGATCGGGGTGTGTTTGTTTCGTGCACCAGGTCGACTCAGATAAAGACGTACTCGTGTGTATTGATGAGGGTGTGTTTGTTTTATTCACCAGGTCGACTCAGATAAAGACGTACTCGTGTGTATTGATGGGGGTGTGTTTGTTTCGTGCACCAGGTCGACTCAGATAAAGACGTACTCGTGTGTATTGATGGGGGTGTGTTTGTTTCGTGCACCAGGTCGACTCAGATAAAGACGTACTCGTGTGTATTGATGGGGGTGTGTTTGTTTCGTGCACCAGGTCGACTCAGATAAAGACGTACTCGTGTGTATTGATGGGGGTGTGTTTGTTTCGTGCACCAGGTCGACTCAGATAAAGACGTACTCGTGTGTATTGATCGGGGTGTGTTTGTTTCGTGCACCAGGTCGACTCAGATAAAGACGTACTCGTGTGTGTATTGATTGAGGGTGTGTGTTGTTTCGTGCACCAGGTCGACTCAGATAAAGACGTACTCGTGTGTATTGATGGCGGGGTGTGTTTGTTTCGTGCACCAGGTCGACTCAGATAAAGACGTACTCGTGGGATAACGCGCAGGTGCTGCTGGTGGGAAACAAGTGCGACATGGAGGACGAGCGGATGGTGAGCGGAGACCGAGGACGACAGCTGTCTGAACATCTGGGTGAGTGTCACGGCGGGGGGCGGGACAGGTGCAGACAGGTGCAGACAGGTGCAGAGACAGGTGCAGAGACAGGTGCAGGGACAGGAACTTTTCAAATTATGTCAAATCTACTGCAGTAAAATTGAAAATTAAAACTGAAAGGGCCATAAATCAGGAGCCACAGGGGGGCGCCAGTCACAAAAACTGTTGTTGTGTCCTTAGGCAAGACACTGAACAATGAACTGTGAATGTAATGATTAATTAATAATGAATAAATGAATTAACAAATGGATTTTATTGATATTTTCTCTCTGTCTCTTTATCCCCCTCTCTCTCTCTCCTTCCCTCCTCCCTCCCTCCCTCACCTCTCTGTCTCTCTCTCTTTTTCTCCCTTTTTCTCTCTCTCTCCCTCTCTCGCTCCTCCTTTCTCTCTCGGTCCCTCACCTCTACTTTTCTCTCTTCTTCTCTCTCTCCCTCCCTCTCTTTCTCTCCTCCCTCTCTCTCTCCTTCACAACTCTCCTCTCTCTCTCACTCTTTCTCTCTCTCTCTCTCTCTCTTTCTGCCTCCCTCCCTCTCTCTCTCTCCTTCTCCCTCTCTCCCTTCCTCTTTCCCTCTTTCTCTCCTATCTCTCCCTCCTTCACACCACCTTCTCTCTTTCTTTCTCTCCCTCTCTCCCTCCCTGTCTCTTTCCCTCACTTCTCTCCCTCCTTCGCAACTCTCTACTCTCTCTCTCTCCCCTCTCTCTTTCTCTCGTTCTCTCACCTCTCCCTCCCTCCCTCCTCTCTTTCTCTCCTCTCTCTCCTTCACACTTGTCTTCCCTCTCTCCTTCTCTCTCACTTCCTCCCCTCACCTCTCTCCCTCCTTCCTCCTCCTTTCTCTCTCTCCCTCGCTCTCTCTCTCTGTCCTTCTCTCTGTCCCTCTCTCCCTTCCTCCTTCTCTCTCTTTCCCTCTCCTCTCTCTCCCTGCTTCACATCTCTCCTCTCTCTTTCTCTCCTTCTCCCCCCCTCGCTCCCTCCTCCTCTCTCCCTCTCTTTCTGTCCTCCTCTCTTTCTCTCCTCCTTTCTCCCCTCTTTCCCTCCTCTCTTTCTCGCCCTCTTCCATCCCCCTCTCTCTCCCTCTCTCCCCCTCTCTCCCTCTCTTCCATCTCTCCTCCTCTTTCTCTCTCTTTCCCTCCTCTCTTTCTCCCTCCTTCACATCTCTCCTCTCTTTCTCTCCTTCTCACCCTCCCTCTCTTCCTTCCCCCCTTTCTCTCTCTCCCTTTATCTCCCTCTCCCTCCTCCTCTCCTCCTCTCTTTCCCTCCTCTCTTTCTCTCTCCCTCTCTTCCGTCTCTCCTCTCTCCCTTTCTTTCTCTCTCTTTCTCTCTCCCTCTCTTTCACCTCTCCTGTTCTCTTTCCCTCCTCTCTTTCTCTCTCCCCTCCTCGTCTCTCTCCCTCTCTCTTTCTCTCTTTCTCCCTCCCTCTCTTCTTTCTCTCCATCTCTCCCTTCCTCCCTCCCTCACTCTTCTGTCTCTCTTCCCTCTCTTCCCTCTCTCTTCCCTCTCTTCCTCTCTCTCCTCTCTCTCTTCCCTCTCTTCCCTCTCTCTCTCTCTCTCTCTTCTCTCTCTCTCTCTCTTCCCTCTCTCTTCCCTCTCTTCCTTCCTCTCTCTTCTCTCTCTTCTTCCCTCTCTCTTCCCTCTCTCTTCCCTCTCTCTTCCTCTCTCTCTCTTCCATCTCTCTTCCTCTCTTCTCTCTTCTCTCCTTCTCTCTCTTCTCTCTTCTCTCTCTCTCTTCCCTCTCTCTTCTCCCTCTCTCTCTCTCCCTCTCTCTTCCCTCTCTTCTCTCTCTTCCCTCTCTCTTCCGTCTCTCTCTCTCTTCCCTCTCTCTTCCGTCTCTCTTCCCTCTCTCTTCCATCTCTTCCATCCCTCCCTCTCTCTTCCTCTCTCTTCCCTCTCTCTTCTCCTTCTCTCTTCCATCTCTCTTCCCTCTCTTCCCTCTCTCTTCTCTCTCTCTCTTCCTCTCTCTCTCCATCTTCTCTCTCTTCCTCTCTCTCCTTCTCTCTCTCTTCCTCTCTTCCACTCTCTCTCTCTCTCCTCTCTCTTCCCTCTCTCTTCCTCTCTCTTCTCTCTCTTCCTCTCTCTTCCTCCCTCTCTCTTCTCTCTTCCTCTCTCTTCCCTCTCTCTTCCATCTCTCTCTCTCTCCTCTCTCTTCCCTCTCTTCCATCCCTCCTCTCTCTTCCACTCTCTCTTCCTCTCTCTTCCGTCTCTCTTCCCTCTCTCTCTCTCTTCCCTCTCTCTTCCCTCTCTTCCATCCCTCCCTCTCTCTTCCCTCTCTTCCTCTCTCTTCTTCCTCTTCTCTTCTCTCTCTCTCTCTTTCTCTCTCTCCTCTCTTCCCTCTCTCTTCCTCTCTCTCTTCTCTCTCTCTCTCTTCCTCTCTCTCTCTCTCTCTCTCTCTCTCTCTCTCTTCCTCTCTTCCTCTCTCTTCTTCTCTCTTCCATCTCTCTTTCCTCTCTCTTCTCTCTCTCTCTCTCTCTCTCTCTTCTCTCTCTCCCTCTCTCCTCTCTCTCCCTCTCTCTTCCCTCCCTCTCTTCCTCTCTCTTCCCTCTCTTCCCTCCTCTCTTCCCTCTCTCTTCCCTCTCTCTTCCCTCTCTCTTCCTCTCTCTTCCTCCCTCTCTCTCTCTCTCTCTTCCTCTCTCCCTCTTCCTTCTCTCTTCTCTCTCTCTCTTCCTCATCTCTCTTCTCTCTCTCTCTTCTCTCCCTCCTCTTCCCTCTCTCTTCCTCTCTCTTCTCTCTCTCTCTCTTCCCTCTCTTCCCTCTCTTCTCCCTCTCTTCCCTCTCTTCCCCTCTCTCTTCCCTCTCTTCTCTCTTCTCTCTTCCATCCTCTCTTCCCTCTCTCTTCCCTCTCTTTCCTCTCTCTTTCTCTCTTCCCTCTCTCTTCTCCTCTCTCTCTCTCTTCCTCTCTTCTCTCTCTTCTCTCTTCCCTCTCTCTTCCCTCTCTCTCTCTCTCCCCTCGGTCTCTCTCTCTCCCTCTCTCTTCCTCTCTCTTCCTCTCTCTCTCTTCCTCTCCTCTCTTCCCTCTCTCTCTCTTCCTCTCTCTTCCCTCTCTTCTCTCTCCCTCTCTTCTCTCTTCTCTCTTCCCTCTCTCTTCCTCTCTCTTCCCTCTCTTCCCTCTCTTCCCTCTCTCTTTCCTCTCTCTCTTCCCTCCCTCTCTTCTCTCTCTCTCTCTTCCCTCTCTCTTCCTCTCTTCCCTCTCTTCCTCTCCCTCTTCCCTCTCTCCTCTCTCTCTCTTCCTCTCTCTTCCCTCTCTCTCTCTTCCTCTCTCTTCCTCTCTCTCTCTCTCTCCTCTCTCTCTTCCTCTCTCTCTCTCTTCCCTCTCTCTTCCATCTCTCTTCCTCTCTCTCTCTCTCTCTCTTCCCTCTCTCTCTCTCTCTTCCTCTCTCTTCCCTCCTCTTCTCTCTTCCCTTCCCTCTCTTCTCTCTTCCCTCTCTTCTCTCTCTTCCTCTCTCTTCTCTCTCTCTCTCTTCCTCTCCTCTCTCTTCCCTCTCTCTTCCTCTCTCTCTTCCTCTCTCTCTTCTCTCTTCCCTCTCTCTTCCTCTCTCTTCCCTCTCTCTCTCTCTCTCTCTCTTCTCTCTTCCCTCTCTCTTCCTCTCTCTCTTCCTCTCTCTTCCCTCTCTCTTCCCTCTCTCTTCCCTCTCTTCCGTCTCTCTTCCCTCTCTCTTCCCTCTCTCTCTCTTCCTCTCTCTTCCCTCTCTCTTCCCTCTCTTCCCTCTCTCTTCCCTCTCTTCCCTCTCTCTCTTCTCTCTCTTCCTCTCTCTTCCTTCCCTCCCTCCCTTCCCTCCGTCCTCTTGTCGTTCTTGTCGTTCTTGTCGTTCTCGTCGTTCTCGTCGTCTGTTTCAGGGTTTGAGTTTTTCGAGGCGAGCGCGAAGGACAACATAAACGTGAAGCAGACGTTCGAGCGTCTGGTCGACATCATCTGCGAGAAGATGTCCGAGAGTCTGGACGCGGGCGACCCGGCGGTGACGGGCGCCAAACAGGGTCCCCAGCTGACGGAGCAGACCCCGCCCCCCAAACCCGACTGCGCCTGTTAGCTCCGCCCCCTCCTCCCAACGCCGCCGCCGCCGCCGGACTGTGCGCGAAAGCCCCGCCCCCCGCCGCGGTCCCCGGCTCCGACGCTCCCGACGGTTTTTCCCAGACCGGCGTCCACCCCCTCCGTCCGCCCCCCGCCCCCCCCCCGCGGGTTTAAAGACGCACCGCGGAACTTTCCTGACGCTCGCTCGTCCGCGGAGACGTCGCCGCTCGGTCCGGAACGTTCCGCAGTCCGGCGTTAAACCGAACGTGAAATCCTTAAACGGGTTTAATGCCGCGCTGTGGGACATTAAAGGAAAGCGGCGACGTTTCTGCGGCGGCGTTTCCGTGGAGACGAGCGGCGCAGCGGGCGGGTCGACCCCAAACCGGGAAAGTTCCGCAGTGAATCTTTAAAGAAGAAGAAGAAGGCCTCACAGTGCCATCCACATCCTCCCCATGTTTACACAGAACCAGGACTGGACCGGGACTAGACCTGGTTTAGTTCTGGTCTAGTCCTGGTTTAAACCTGGTCTAGTCCTGATGAAGACTTAGTTTAACCCTGGTTCAGTCCTGGTTTACTTCTGGTCTGATCCTGGTTTAGTCCTGGTCTAGTTGTGGCTTAGTCCTGGATTAGTTCTGGTTTAATCCTGATCTAATCCTGCTCTGGTCCTGGTCTAGTTCCTGGTCTAGTCCTGGTTTAGTCCTGGTCTAATCCTAGTTTGGGCCTAGTCTAGTCCTGGTCTAGACCTGATGAAGACTTAGTTTAGTCCTGGTTTAGTTCTAGTCTGGCCCTGGTCTAGTCCTGGTTTAGACCTGGTCTAGTCTTGGTTTAGTTTTGGTCTAGTCTTGATCTGGTCCTGGTTTAGTTCCTAGTTTAGTCCTGTTCTAATCCTGGTCTGGTCCTGGTCTAGTTCCTGGTTTAGTTCCGGTTTAGTCCTGTTCTAGTCCTGGTCTAGTCCTGGTCTGGTCCTGGTCTAGTTCCTGGTCTAGTCCAAGTTTAGTTCCTGGTCTGGTTCTGGTCTAGTTTCTGGTTTAGTTCCTGTTCTAGTCCTGTTCTAATCCTGTTTTGGTCCTGGTCTATTTCCAGGTTTAGTTCCTGGTCTGGTCCTGGTTTAGTTCTCGTTTAGTCCTGATCTAGTCCTGGTCTAGTCCTTTTCTAATCCTGCTCTGGTCCTGCTCTAGTTCCTGGTCCAAGTTTATAGTTCCTGGTCTGGTTCTGGTCTAGTTTCTGGTTTAGTTCCGGTTTAGTCCTGTTCTAGTCCTGTTCTAATCCTGTTTTGGTCCTGGTCTATTTCCAGGTTTAGTTCCTGGTCTAGTCCTGGTCTAGTCCTGGTCTAGTCCTGGTTTAGTCCCAGTTCAGTTTCAGTGTGTTGTGTCTGAACTCGTCCTCAGAGTTTCCTTCAAACCCTGGATTAAAAATTAAAAACACTTTGTAGAGTTATTCTGATTTAACTAAACAACACACAGAGGGGTTTTATTTTTACACTTTATTTGAGTTAATTTAAAATGAAATTATGAACAAAACTGGTTCAAACTGGTTCTACTCTGGAGGGAGTTTGAAGTGATGGTGGGAGGAGCCAAATTAACACTAAGAGAAGTTGAATTAACAGTAAAGAAAACTGAATTAACACTAAAGAAAGTTGAATGAACACTAAAATAAGCTGAATGAACACTAGAGGAAGTTGTTTTAACACTAGTGGGAGTTAAATTAACACTAAGACCATTAATTTTCACAGTTTCCACAGAACGAAAACTGTTTATTTTAAAAAATTACAGATATTTTTTTCAACTTTTAACTTTTAATTCAGGGTTTGACCGGGACCGGAGACTCTCGAACAACTTTTAATGTGTTTATTTTTACGTTTTTAAAGCCGCACCGCGCAACTTTTCCGGGCCGATAGTGCTGCTGTCGCCTGCTTTTTTTTTCCCCGTTTCTTTGTTTGAAATGTTCCGTGTTGGGACTTTAAACACATCCCGTTAGCGTTTATTTGTTATTCGAGCGTTTTTACGACTGGAAAATACAAGAATTTTCGTAAACCGCGGGACACTCCAGATCAAAATGTAACGTTTCCATGGAGACGAACAGGTGGAAGCAGCACCCTTCGCTGGAAATGTTACGCAGTGAAGCTTTAACGGAAAAGACGGCGGTTTTGTTCAGGTATTCGCGTCCAAACGTGTGTTTTTACGTTGTTTTTTTACCCGTTTTTTCTGGATAAAAACACAGGGAGGATACATATAGAGACGTATATAGAAAAACATAGTACAAATATTAAAATAGAAGACTTGTATTTTATTTTATTTTATTTATTTCTACTGTGCATATGTGTAAATGTTGTGAATTATAAAACTCCAGTATGCATTCGGATCGGAAACTGTCGTATGAGTTTGTGCGTGAGTGTTTTTTTTTTTCGGTTGTCGCACCATTTTTTTTTTTTGTGAGTGATTTTTCGGGTTTTCGTCGTTTTTTTTTTTTTTTTTTTTTAATTGCAACTTTCTTCTAAATAATTCTCCGTTCTCCGCCACTAGAAACGTCCGGACGGGATTTCGCTGCACGAAAAAAAGGCAGAATATTCGCGCAGACGGGTTTCAGAGGAGAGTTGCGTTGTTTTTTTTTTAGTCGTTGAAAAGGCGCCGTACCTGATTTTTTTTTTTTTTTTTTTTTTACGGTTTTGAAAATGTTCGCGGTGGTTCGAAGTTTATAGGTGCTTTTGGAGACCCTGACAACAACTAGCATGCTAACACACACCTCTTAATATGGGACAACGGAAAACTTTCACAGTGGACTTACTTATTTTTGATCGAAATATAACGGTCCGTGTACAGTTTGTTCTTTTGAATTTTAATTAAGAACGAAAAATGATAAAACGGGAAAACAGTTCGATCCACGTGTCATTTGTTCATTTGTTTTTCAAAATAAAAGCAAAAGTAAGAAAAGGGAAAAAAACAATTATTTTATTCATTATTTGTCTCCAAAACCAAAATGGAAAAAAAAAAAAGAAGCTAATGATTTGTTTTTTCAGTTTTTGATTTTGTGTTTAAAAGAAAAATGGAAAAAATGGATAACGGACTGAACCAAGACTAAACCAGGACAAAACCAGGACTGAACCAGGACTGAACCAAGACTAAACCAGGACAAAACCAGGACTGAACCAGGACAAAACCAGGACTAAACTGGTTTCAATCCTGGTCCTGGTCCTGGTCTCAGTCCTGGTCACCTGACAGTCTATGTGGGTGCACCTCTGGGCCTGTCCCCACACTCCTGGGTCAGTCCTGGTTTAGTCCTGGTTTAGTCCTGGTTTAGACCTGGTTTAGACCTGGTTTAGTCCTGGTTTAGACCTGGTTTAGACCTGGTTTAGATCTGGTTTAGACCTGGTTTAGTCCTGGTTCAGTCCTGGTTTAGACCTGGTTTAGACCTGGTTTAGTCCTGGTTTAGACCTGGTTAGGACCTGGTTCAGTCCTGGTTTAGACCTGGTTTAGTCCTGGTTCAGTCCTGGTTTAGACCTGGTTTAGACCTGGTTTAGTCCTGGTTCAGTCCTGGTTTAGACCTGGTTTAGACCTGGTTCAGTCCTGGTTTAGACCTGGTTTAGACCTGGTTTAGTCCTGGTTCAGTCCTGGTTTAGACCTGGTTTAGTCCTGTTTAGACCTGGTTTAGTTCTGGTTTAGTCCTGGTTTAGACATGGTTTAGTTCTGGTTCAGTCCTGGTTTAGTCCTGGTTTAGACCTGGTTTAGTCCTGTTTAGACCTGGTTTAGTTCTGGTTTAGTCCTGGTTTAGTCCTGGTTTAGTCCTGGTTTAGTCCATTATCCGTTTTTTCCATTTTTCCTTTAAACACAAAATCAAAAACTGAAAAAACAAATCATTATCTGTTTTTTCATTTTGGTTTTGGAGACAAATAATGAAGAAAATAGTCGTTATTTTAATTTTCTTATTGTTGTTTTTATTTTGAAAAACGAATGAACGAACGACACGCTGATTCAGAGAGACGTCACTCTGTTTTTCAATACAAACTGAACTGGAGCCAGAGCCGATGGAGCCAGGAAGCGCGCCCATGCTCACTTCCTGTTCGGGTTCAGCTACGTCCATTTTTAAGAGACATTTTTGCTCGAATACGCGGCGAAAAAAAAAAAAAAAATCAGGTACGGTGCCGTTAAACGATCGTGGAAGTGTCGGTTTCCTGTTCGGTTTGACATGTCCATAAACGGTCGTGCGTTCGTTTTGCGGTGTGTTTTACGAAAAACCTGGAGTCCGTCCGAAATCTCTGACTCATTGTAAGTATTTGTTTGTGTTTGAAAATGAAATGCTACGAGAATATTTTGCACCTGTTTAGCGATAATTTGTACGGACGCGGATTCTGACGGCGCGACGAGGAAAACGCGAGCGAACTTTTACGTCGCGTTTTAGATCGTAACTTTTTCCGGCGGAGGCTCCATCAGACGCTTTTTTCCGTAGAAATACAGTCATTGCTTTGTCTGGAATGTTCCGCAGTACGTCTTTAAACCTTTTCATCGTCACGGAAACCAAACCAGACGGAGTTCCAGGTCAGATCTGCGGAGAGGCGACGCCGCTCACGCTCAGAATCCCCGTTTTTCTTGGCGTTTTTGAGCGATAAACCCACCTGTAACTGAGTAAATGTCACACTGCGGAACATTCCGGACAGAGAAGTGACGTATCCATGGAAACAAGCAGGTGACGGACCCTCAGCCAGAAAGTTACACGGCGCAGCTTTAAAGGAATTAAGGTTTCAGTGACCAAACTTTGAAGACGTTTCAACGAAGAACTGTTGCCGATCGGGAAGCAATCCTTAAGGAAGTTGGGGGGGGTCCGTCGCCTGCTTGTTGCCATGGATACGTCACTGCTCTGCCTGGAATGTTCCGCAGTGTGACATTAAACAGCTCTACTTTACGTTTATTCAATTACAGGTGTTTTTTTTTAAAGCTCAAAAATACCGAGAAAAACAAACTTTCTGACTCTGGAACTCGGTCTGATTTGGTCTCCGTGAAGATAGAAAGGTTTAATGCCGTACTG